TTTTATTTTATTTATATAATTATTATTTGTCTAAAAATATTACTTTTTATGTGAATCTATTGATATATTGTTCTACTTTTCATAAATTAACTATTATAATTTACATTTTTATTTGTATGCTTTTTACCTTTCTCAATTCATTAATCTTTTTTTTTTTTTGGGTCCATCCATCATATTCAAAGTTCACTTTGATTCACCAGAATTGAAAGTCTCTATTATTATAAGTATGTTTTAATTTTTTGCTAAATTTTAATTTTGAAATTTAGTTTAGGAAAAAATTATAATATTAATTATTTGATTGGCAAGTTATGATTATATTAATTTATTAATTAATTGATTGAATGATAAATTTTGATTAGTTTGATTAATTAATTAGTAAATTATGATTAGATTATTTTAATTGATTGATAAATTATTATTATATTAATTAATTGATTTATAAATTATGATTATTTTGGTTAATAATTAGTAAATTATGATCATATTGATTAGTTATTAATAGGTAAATTATAATTATATCGATTAATTAATTGATTGGTAAATTTACATTTTATTAATTAATTCATTGGTTAATTATTATTATATTGATTAATTGATTGATAAATTATGATTACACTGATTATATTAATTTTTAATTTTAGTGTATAAAATATGTTCACCAAATTATCAAATTTGTTATATTACTTTTGTGGGAATATGAATTTTTTAATAAAAATTTAAGAAAATATTTCAAATGCTAGGAGATCGATATTGGATGTATCATTGTTTAGATGATAATGGCTTTTTTATTGATGAATTCAAAATTGGCATGTAGTACTTTCTAGACTATGTATTTTTCTAGTCCAATTCAAAATTTTGTAGTAAAAATCACATTAGGTGTCCATGTAGGAAATGTATGAATCAAGAATGGCATCGATGCATTACTGTTCAGTGTCATTTGATAGAAAAAGGTTTTATGAATGGGTATCTAGTCTGACTTGCACACAGAGAGCAATAAGTGTGAAAGTGGCAACTTAATCATTGGGGGGAATTCTCGAGTGTAGCTCCTTTTGTGATGGAAGAACCAGGTAATGATCCAATTAGAGAGATGGTTGAGGATACAATGAGTTCACATGGTATAGAATATAATATGAATGAACAAGCCAGTGATGAGCCAATCTTTGAAGAGGCAATGGGAGATGCAAAGGAATTTTTTTTATCTTTAGCAAGCTGTTAATGCACCACTTTGTCATGTATGTGATGAGGGTGATCAGTATTCAAATGGGTGTCTCATTTTATGAATGCAAAGACACTTTATAATATGAATTTGGCTAATTGAGATTATATGTTAAAGTGTAGTAGAAGATGGATCAAACCAGAGGATCAAGATAAGATTCCAAAAGATTTGTACAATGCTAAAAAGATGATGAGGCACTTTAGTCTATGTTATAAGAAGTATGATGTTTGTGTAAATAACTGTTTTTTATATTATGGTGAATACGAAAACAAAAACTACATCGCATGTCTAGTATGTGGTGAATCTCGTTATAAACAGGGATATGTGCAAAAAAATCAACATATACCAAATAGATCATTATGGTATCTCCTAATTACACCTATACTGAAAAGGTTGTACATGTGTAGAAAAACTACTAAGCACATATTATGACACCTTACTTGTGGTGATGAATCTAGAAAGATTGTGCATCTTGACGGTGTTGAGGCATGGATCGCACCTACCCTGACTTTGGGTTAGATCCAAGGAATGTAAAGCTTGGATTGTGCATAGATGGGTTCACTCCATTTGGATATACAGTAGTCCCATATTCATGTTGGCTTGTATTTTTGACTATTTACAACCTACCTCTAGCCATGTGTATGAAACCGGAGTCCATTTTTCTTTCTCTAATAATACAAGGCCCTCATAGTCTAGGAAAAAACATTCATGTCATGCTATGCCCACTGACTGATGAATTAAAGGAACTTTGGTATAATGGGGTGAAGACATATAATCGTTTTAGGCATCAACTTTTCATTATGAAAGCAACACTTACGTGGACAATTAGTGACTTCCCTGGATATGGAATGTTATTTGGATAGAGCACACATGGTACATTGTCATGTCCATATTGTTAGGAAAACTCTAAGGCATTTCACCTTCCAAACAATTGGAAGATATCATTTTTTGATTGTCACTGATAGTTTTTACCCCCCGATCATCCATTCAAGAGAAATATGAATGATTTGAAAAAAGGCCATGTAGAGAATCTTGCTCCATCGAAGAGATTATCGAGTGATGATATGTATCGACAAATTTAGCAATTACCTGATATATTATTTGGGAAGCCATCCCAAAGGCAGGTGATCAAAGGATTTGGTAATTGGCATAATTAGGTTAAAAGAAGTATTTTTTAGGAACTTCATTGGAGTACAAACTTAATTTGTCATAACCTTGATGTAAGGCATTATGAGAAAAACTTTTTTGATAATATCTTTCACATCATTATGGATGACCCATTGACAAAAGACAACTTGAAGGCAAGGATGGATATGGAATTGTATTGCAATAGGTCAAGTCTTTGTATACTAGAAAGAGGCTCTTATGCAGGTAAAAAATCGAAGGCCACTTATGCCTTAAGTAGGGAGTAGAGAAAATCGATGTGCCAACGACTAAAGAATCTTAGATTTCCTTATGATTTTGCATCCAACATCTCTTGGTGTGTGAATATGCAAGAGGTGAAAGTTAGTGGGATAAAGAATCATGATTGTCACATATTCATGCAAAGTCTCCTTCTAATCACATTTCGTGATTTTCTCTCAAAGCAAGTTTGTGAAGCATTTACTGAGATCAGTGAATTTTTTAGAGCCTAATATTCTTCAGCCATTCATGTTACAGATATAGAGATTTGGCATGTAAAGATTGTAGAAACAATATGCTAGCTTGAAAGAATCTTCCCTCTTTCTTTTTTTCATTCGATGCAGCATGTAGCAATCCAACTTCTATATGAAGCCAAGGTAGGGGGACTAGTGCAATTCCGTTGGATGTATCCATTTGAGAGATATTATTAGAATTCTTAATTTTTTTAAATATTTTATATCTATAATATAAAACATAATTTTCTTTTTAATTTATTAATTATTTAAATTTATTTTTCATGAATTAGATGAATGCATGGATTGAAGGGTTTGGTGAAAAATAAAGCCCATCAAGAGGGATCAATATGTGAGTATTATATAATGAGTGAGATCTTATACTTTTTCTTGCTTTATTTTGAAGGAGAAGTTGAGACAAGAGGTGGTCACATCCCCAGGAATCTTGTTGGCTTAGGCCTTTCAATATTCAATAATCCTAAAAAACCAATTGGTTCTCTACAACAATGAGTGTTGACAACAGAGGAGCGTAATGTTGCAATGTATTATGTTCTAATGAATTGTGAAAAATGGATTGAGTGAGTGCATTTTCCTAATCCTTATCCTTAACAAAATTTGAGAAATTAAATGATTTGTTTTAATTTACACAAATTATAATGGATACTTGATTAGGATTTTTGAAGAGGATGAATGTCAAAATATGACTCCCCAACAAATACAAATAAAACATTCTAATTATCTTGTGCCATGGTTTGAAATATCAGTATGTTTAATCCTAAAATTTAATTATTGTTAATTAATTATTATATACTTATAACTAATAAAATTACTCATGTGATATAGGTTTTATGTGATGAGTTTGAAGGCATGGATGACCATTTGATTGGTTTGGCTCGTGGCCTTTCTTGGATGGTTTCATGCTATAAAAGCTTTTGGGTAAACAGTTTTCGATTTCACACTGCCTCATATGGAAAAACAAGAAAACAATAAATAGTGGTGTGTGTGTCACAGAAACCATAGGAACAAAATTAGACTTGGATTTTTATGGGTTGTTGCAAGAAGTGATTGAGCTTCAATATATTGGCTCTAGACATCGACAAATAGTTGTTCTATTTAAATGTGATTGGTATGAAATTTCTCTTGTACAAGGAATTGTGGTTAACCGAAAACACAATCTTATTAATATTAATCAAAATAGAAAACTAAGAACTTATGAGCCTTTTATCTTGGCAAGTCTAGCTAAATAGGTGTATTACACTCCATATCCATCACATAATTATGTTAAGTAGGGAAGAGTTTCTGCATTGCCATGTAGAGTAGGAGGGATTATTGAGATGCCAAATGAACCAAAGGGCTAACATGATGATCTAGAGCCCATATTTCACAATGATGATGCCCTAGTTCCCCAACCAATCAAGTTAGATGTCATATTATATGAATCTATTCATTAGACTGATGAGATTGTATCTGCCATTAATGTACAATTTGAGAAAAAGGATAAGTAGTAGGAAGAATTGAAAAATATTTTACATCTGAGGAGGAAAATATTAAATACATTTTTGAGAGTGATAACAGTGACTAATTAATTAGTAACATATATAAACTTTGTTATTATTTAGTAGTGTATGTATGTGGTATTTTATAAGACATTAGGTGATATGTAAATAACTTGATATAAAAGAAAACTTAATGTGACATTTATTAATATTTATTAATATTATCTTTAAATTTCATGTTTAATTTAATTTTTTAAAGTTTAAATCTAATGCATTTTTTTTCAATCATATACTAATGTAGTATTATTTCCTTTCTTTTCTTTTTTTTTGCAGCTAATTGCATGCTCGGAGCTTGTAAGGGTAACAAGGCTATTGATGTTGCCACCCAAAGGCCTATAAGGAAAAATCAACCACAGGCAACTGGGTTTTCGAATACCATTGTCATAGAGACCCCGAGGGAGACGTGGTAATGGCAATGACATTGACTCTAGTGCACCCTTGTCTCCTCAACCCAAAAAAGGGCGAGGTATTGTTAGAGCTAAAACAATGCTTGAGGATCCTTCTCAAAAGCTGAGCATTGGGAACTAGGATGGGAAAACATTACTAAAACAAGTTCAAAAGGATATTTCAATCATCCTTAAGTCAAATATGCATGATGCATATACAAGGTGGGGCTTAATTTCTCGTGAGCACAAGTGTACTGGCAGGCTGTTCAGATTTATAGTTTTATTGAATAAATTTATAATGGCATGGTTTTATTTATATATGTGCATTTTCTTATATAAATCAATTAATGTATGTATATATGATACCTATATATATATATATATATATTTCGGAATAGATACGAGTGGGACCCTGTTGAGGAGGGTGTTGTACATACAACATTTCTGCACATTGTGAAAACATTATAACCAGATGATAATTGATATCCAGGCTTCATGTAGGAAGAAAAATTTTACAAAAAAATGCCATACATGTCTGATGAGGTTTGGGAGAAGTTAAAGTACATATGGACGGAGGACTCGCAGTTCAACATGCGCAAGGAGCCACTAAAGCTAAATCGAGCCAAAGGTCCTTGAGTAACCCACACATGTGGATTTATGGATTACATGATTTTGTGCAAAAATTAGTAAAAATTTTACTTTTATGTTCTAGATTTCATATCATAATTTATATAATAATCTTAATGTTAATTATAATGTTTGTGTGAATTAACCCAATAATTGAATATGATATTGTAGAAGGAAAAGATTCTAAACATAGGGACCATAATTCGTTGATGTGATCCGTGCAAAAGAAAAAAAAATGCACCATCCAAAGGATAAAGATAAAATGCCAATATATATTGATGAGCAGGCTCAAGAGTATACTATAAGTATTCTTTCTTTGCCATTATTATTTCCTAAGAAGTTCATTTAAGTGATTTTTTCTTTCATTTTTATTCATATTAAAAAAATCAATTAAAATTAAGGATACCTTATTAATTACCTAATTTGGACAACTTGAATTATCCTCTATTTATTTAGTTTTATTAAAATTAGATTGCATTTTAATTTTATTGAATATCACAGCTAAAAATATATATATGCTTGAATATACTTTTATATTTTGTTTACAAGGGAAAAGTTCAATTTTTAGAGAAAACTCTGCTGAATTTTTTATGAATTTATAATGAATTGCAAACTTTTAAGTAATTTTATTATGGTATTTATAATTATATTGAGTCCCTAATTAAGATTAAGGTAATTAAAAACTATATAGATATATTAAATAAAGTAGATATACATTAAGTATGGTGTTTATATATTTTTTTTTGGGGTTTGTCTATATTGGATTCTTTTTCTTTATAATTTCTATTTTCGTTTTTGGGTATGTAATACTGGAAGAGACTAATTTTTACACAGACTTTTAACATTTGAACCCAAAAAAAAAAAAAAAAAATCCAAGCTTATATAATATTGGATTTCAGTCTCCTTTTTAAATATATATATATATTGTTTTAGTTTCAAGATTTGAAATTTTGGTTTCACCAAATCAGAATATTACAAAGGTGTTTTTCAATTGGAATGACAAGTAGGATGACACCTTTTTTGTATTGCTTGTATACTAAAATTACCAAAATTTCATTAATAAAATAATATAAAGTTCAATTTTATTAAATTTTTTTAATAATTATAGTGTCAAATTGTGAAGAAGAAAAGGTGATGTCCATACTTGAAAATATTTTTCTAATTATGTATTTGCTTTCTCTAGAGTTGAACATGTTGACAAAAGGGCTCAAAGAAGTTAACTTTATACAAATTGATTAATGTGCTTGGAAGTATTCTTTGGATTTGTGCTAAGTTTGAACTTTTTTATTCATTTAAGTGAAATCAAATTGAATTTTAACTTTATTGAATATCATAACTAGAAATAAATATAGGTGAATGTATTTTTATACATTATTTATAAGGGGAAAGTACAGTTTTTGAGTGAAACTTTGTCAAATTTTTCATAAATTAATAATGAATTGTGAAAATTTAAGTAATTTTATTATGATATTTATAATTATATTGAGTATGATGGTTGCAAGTATATGATTGACTATATAATGTTTTTATACTTTATTAAATAATATAATAAGCATGTTGTATAATTTATTATAAGAACAATTAATTGTAGAGGTTATTCAGAAATATGGGGAGGACACAACTGCACGGCCAACAGTAGTTGATGCCTAACTTTTGTCCCAAGTTTTGGGTGGACCTTACAAGGATGGGTGACTATGGAATGCCCATTTACATGGACCCTACTGAGTAAGATGTGTCACACCGTAAGCGTCCTCCACATACCATACTTAATAGATTTGTTTAGTCATCTCAACATATGGTGCAGTTGCAACAAATTGTGACAAAACAATAAGAGAATCAACTGATATTACAAGAGAAAGTTGACAGGATGGAGAGGATTTTTTTATGATGCAAGGAAGAGGGACAGGGACAAGTAGGGGAGCATAATTGGCTTTGTTTTAAGTTGATCTTCATATCAGAAACATCTTTTACTATTATATATGCATGGACATGTATAACAATTTGAACATGTAGGACTAGGACATAGTATTTTAATTAGTATTTTATGACATAATATTTTAATTATGAAATTAAGTCAAGTTTTATATTTATCTGTTTCTAGGTAAAGTTTTCAATTAGATGTTTTAATATACATGTAGAAGTAGCTTAATTAGTAGAATTTTTATTATATTACTTATAAATTTTAGGTCAAAAACTTAGAAACAAAGAAAGTAAAAAACAAGAAAACGTCAAAAGCAGGAAATAGAGCAACATTGAAAGACTATACTAATATATTTCTATCAGTGATCTTGATCGAAATATGATAATATTTTGTTTTATTTTAATTTGGTCAAAATGTTTGATCAAATAAGGGTCTTATTTCCTCGATCATTAATATTCACTAAAAAAACTTATTTTGAAAAAAAAATTCCTTATATTAATTTGGTCAAATTAATTGACTGAAATATATTTACAATTATTTCGATCAATATTAATTATT